TTTACACCAAGCTAAAGTATATAAAAGTGCTATAAAATATAGCAGGATGACGATTAAAGCGGTTTTTAACAATATGTTATATAGAGGTGTGAAAAAAGTGGACCAAAACTCCCTTTTTTGCCCTACTGCTATAGCATTAAATAATTAATATATATTATTAATAAAGAACACTTTTTATTTTTGATTCTATACATTTGTATATATGCACTCTTTGTTTGTCAAATCATTAAACTAAACCCTCTCGCTAAACTATATACTTACAACTATAATAAACCACTGCATAGTTCTTGTGTCTCTGTGCTCACGTAACTTCCTGTTATTAGTTGAACCATTGATCTCATTTCTGAGAGGTAATATGCAGGTTAACAATTGGTGGTAAACTGTGAGATTTGTAACAAAAAATCAACGTTAAGTTGCAGTAATAACTCTGTGTGAGTTTAACGAATTGCTCAGTGTGAGCTGCAGTATAAGGTTTTGTGTAAACACCTAAAAGAAAATTCAACATTAAGTATATCAGATTAAAAAGAAGAATAATCATTATAAAAATATAATTATACTTATCAGAAAAAGTAATTATAGACTCCACCCAACTTTGCCAACTCCTCAAGCAAGTAGCTGATAGTTTTAAGGAAGTAGCTGATGAATTCAAGTAAGGAACACCCAGTAGTGTAAAGGAATTAAATATTATTAAAGTCAACCAATTTTATAGCATGGATGATGAAGACCCTATTGAGTGGGTAGCTATGTTTGAAAAAGTAGCATTAGCTAATAATTGAAAGAATAATCGAAAAATCGAAATCGTTTTCGGTTATCTGTTTGGAAACACATTATTCTGGTATGATGATATTAAGAGTAAGATTACTAGCTAGGACGATGCCGAAGATACCTCCTTCATAGCCTTGCTTAACTAGTGTTTTGGAACCCTAGACAAAAAAAATAAGTGGCATAATGAGCTACATAATATAGAACAAGGTCAAATAGAATATAGTCCTGAATATGTAGCTAAGTTCAAGCAATTGAAAAAAAAGGTTGATCTCGGGGATAAGCTACCAGACAACTATGTTGTCTATCTGTTTCTATTAGGCTTAAGACAAGAAGTTGCCATGTATACTGCTATGAAAGACCCACAGATCCTAGAAGAAGCTATTGAAATTACTGAGCAAGTAGGAGCTAGAAAATTTTATATAAGAAACAAGGTAGATAAAACCCCCAAAAAAGATAGAAGAAGATATAGATTTGTTGGCAAAGAAAATGCAACAAATGTCATTAAATTACACCTCCCTTATCTCTGCATTAGCATCCCCAGAAAATAATGCTAGGCATATCCACCAACCCATGTATAACCCATGTACTGAAAACTCTAAAACCTGTTAATGCTATATATGTGGTAAATGCAGTCACCTAGCATGAAATTGCTTGACCGAACGTCGTAGCCAAAATAGCCATACTAGACTTAATAGGCCTGAAGATAGAAGAGTAAATATGGCCTGGGTCAATAATAATAATAAACATTTGTATAGCGAAGAACAAGTATATACTGGAGATAGGGACCTCTAATAGCCATATGATACAAGCTATCAAGTCTATAAAGGAACTTCAAGGAGAGTATTATTTGAGAAAACGTGTAAAACTCAACCCTATGCAAGTAGATAGAGGAAGTATTGGGCCAGTACCTACTATAAAAAAGTTGAAAATTAAGAGACAACCATCAATAATCGATCAAGTCAAGCTTTATAACATCTCTGAAGATATTTTAAAGCTTTCATCCAACGCCATCCTAGGTCAAATGCTACAGTATTCTAATCAAAGAAAAAACTTAGCCAAATTATTACGCCACAGCCCCCAGCTGGCCGGACTTATCACAGTAAACTATATCCATAATATAGATAATATGAATACCTGTAAAACTACCACTGCCAAATGCTATATAAGGATACAAGGAAACCCAGTTGTTGCCATTCTTGATTCAGAAGCGGCAGTTAGTATAATTACTGACAAATTAAGAAGAAAATTAGGTCTAGTCATAGATACTCTATCTAGAGTTATCATTGTTATAGCAAATGAGTAGAAAGAAAGAGCACTGGGCCAGATTAATAATACCAAGTTAGCTGTACAAGATGTGCTCATATCTACCCAACTCCAAGTTATAGAGTTCCTAGAAGAAACTCTTCTTCTAGGTACCAATTGGTTCAAAAAGGTACAAGCCCAATGGGACTTTAATACCTGAACTCTAAAAGTAAAATATAGCAAACAGGAAACAGTCATATCGATTACCCACTTAGACAACTAACCTTTACTAGGTGACCTTGGTGAAGAGTCAAATAGCCTAGAGGATTTGCTGGACAAATTGGAGTTTGAAGAGGAAGATCTAGAAGAATATGAAATCTATTACTTAGAAAAATTCAAGTTAGATAATGACAAAAAAGAAATAGTAAATATAGATGACAACCCTGCTGTTTACTTAACTGAAGTAGACTCTATAGGTTTAAGAGTGGAAAATAATTCAGAACATTTAAACGAAAAAGAGAGAACAATCATAGATACTTTATTAGACATTAATAAAGATAGTTTTGCAGAGAATATAGCCGAAGAAAGCCAAACTTTAGGGATAGGCTGTACTAATTTAACCTAACACGAAATCCATACTAGCATAGCCAAACCAATTAAGCAGACTTACTACTATATCTCTAAGGATGAACAAGAATTTCTTGTTAAAGAAATTGCAGCCATGGAAGAGAAGGATGTTGTAAGAAAATGTAAAGATAGTCCTTGGTTTTTGCCTATTGTAATCATACCTAAAAAGAACGGTAAAAAGCAGTTATGTGTCGATTATAGAAAGTTAAACAGTGTCACAGAAAAGGATACCTATCCTTTGCCTTTGATCGAAGAAGTCCTAGAGTCCTTCCAAAGTGCCCAATGGTTCTCTAGTCTAGACTTAGCCAGTGGCTACTGGCAAGTCTCTATGTAAGAAGAGGATAAGAAGAAAACAGCATTTATAACCAAATTCAGTACCTACAAATTCAACGTAATGCTGTTTGGGTTATATAATACCTCCACAACCTTTCAGAGGCTTATAGACGAAGTACTAGGTGATTATAAAAAAAAGTTTTTAGTAGTATATCTTGACGACATAACTATTTACTCTAAAACTTTTAAAGACTATGTGCAACACCTAAAGGCTATCTTCACTACTCTAAGAAAAGCTAAATTAAAAGTAAACAAAAAAAAATATAAATTCTGCCTCCCCGAAATTAAGTTTCTAGGCTATACAGTACCGTATTTTCCCCAAAATAAGCTACCACCTAAAATAAGCTATCTCCTCACTTTTGAGCAAAAAACCAAAAATTCTCTTTTATCTGAAAATAAGCTATCCCCAAATTTTTCAAAAAATTTTAACAGTTGTTATATATAAAAGTCAAAATTGTAATAAATAAATATATATTTTGACCTTAATAGAAGTTGTTCAGAATTAAAAATACACATATATTGAAAGTTTCATACAATTTAGATGACTTTTTATTAGTAACATTTTTGCATTTTAAGTTCAAAATTTATATACAAAATTTATTTATTTTTTTTTTTTGGTATTAAGGTGACCTCTTTGGTCTGGGGAACTTTTTATTAGAGTATAGACAAAGTTTTATATGT